AGACATATTTATGTATACACACATAGGGTATTTCTCCCTATAGTTCCCTATATATCCCTTATATACCCTTTGAAGGTACCCCCTAAATCCTCGTGAACGGCCAGGTTCGGGCTCGGGTACTTTGAACGTCGCCGAGGGTCTTCCGGTGCTTGCGAGCTTGGACAGCCACCCAGACCCCACGGGGATATTGTAGTATATCTATGGGACATTTCTGGCATAGTATATTAATGGGATATTATAGTATATCTACGGGATATTTATGGGATATTATGGGATAGTATAGTATATTTATGGGGTATTATAGTAGATTACGGGATGTTATGGGATGTTATCGTATATTTATGCCTCCCCGTCCTATAGCCTCATTTTAGAGTCAAGTATAGTTTCTGCTGCGAGACGCCCATAGATTTTCTAGAGATTTTCCATTTCAATCTAGTTTCATCCATTTTGCATCTGTTTCCCCTTCCCTAGAAAAACCAAATATATCCCTTTCAAAGGTATCCTGATGTCCCTATATAACTCCTATATACCCCCTAAAGGTCTCTCTTAATCTTCCCGAAGTACAAGCCGAGCTTGCTCAGGATGACCAGCTGGAAAACGGGAGGACTGATCAGCTGCAAGAAGCGTATTCGCACACTTAGCAGTGTTAAGTTGGGTCATCAGAATGAAGGCGGAATGATGCTGAGGGCACATAATGCAGGATCAGAAAAGACAAAGGACAACATATCTGGACGGTTGTTGTCCATGGTCCTGGAGTGCCCCCATTCATTTACAGCAGGGTCATATTCATGCTATGACTACTTGTAGCCTTTAATACTTGTGATCCCTTTTATAGATTGTTAACTTAGTAATTTAGTAATAGTATTACTGGTAATTATATAATGGGATTATACAATGGGTGCCCTATCCATTGTCCTGGAGCTGCAGGAGTGCTCCCAGCACTGGGCGACGCGTGGTGTGCGGTCCTAAGTGGATATGGCAAGGTTTGTACCGCACAAAACATCGGTGGATTAGAGATCAGGGCTTAGCGTAAAGATCCCAACACTGAACAAGGAATCCATGAATTGGCCCACCTTCCTGCAGTGGTAGCTTCCATTTTCTTTTCCATTATCCCTATAAACCCCCAATATACTATAGTAGTTTCCATTTGATTTTCCATTATCCCAATATTACCCTAATATTAACTATGATCCCTGGTAGCGGTAGCGATGGGCAGCAAGTCTCCTGCTTTTTGACCATCAACCCAAGCAGTCCCAAGCACAATTCATGAAGCCTTCCTCCTTCATAGTCGAAGCTTTCATGGCGCCATAGAAGAAGGACCTTCCAAGAAAGCACGAATAAGCACGACCTCAAGGCGTGGGAAGGTTTCGGTTGGCGATGACCATCGCCCTGGGACGGGCGACAGCTCAAGTCAAGGAGCCGGAGCCCCAGTGGATCCATGGTTGGATAGCCTCAAGTGTGGCAGCTGGGGCAACCCAAAATGACATTTTTGTTGTGTGATTTCTTGTAAAAAAATCAGTGGACAGGAGAAAACACTGCAGACGCTGCGCGAGAGATTTTTTTCCGCTTTTGTACGCTCTTGTTTCATGGCTTTTCACGTATTTAGCTATTTTCTGCTCAGCAGTGAAAAGAGTGAATTTCACGGTCACAGTTGTTTCACAGCATTTGGATTACTTTTACTGCGAGAAGGCACTGAACTTGACTGCTTCTCACAGATTTTCATGAACTTTCAGCGAAAGAGTGCAAAGAGTGAATTGCAATGCTTTGTCATCGGTTTTCACTATTTTCTATGAAGGAGTGAAAAAGAGTGAAACCACGAGTGTTTCCTGGCGCGTCCCAGGACTCCGGGTCCGGAATTTACAGATGCTCATCGAAACGGCACTGCTATCGGTGCGACGTCTGAGGACGCTCTATAAAACGTCGTGCCCCGCCCCGCCCCCCACAGACTCTGCAAGAACAGTGAATTTCACATTTTCGCAGGTTGAACTGCCAAAAAATCACAAATCATTTACAAGAAAATCACAAAATTGCAATTTTCAAGAAGTGGTTGTCAGCAGTTTTTGCGTTTAGGGGATGAGGACCGTGCGGATACCAATATTCCTTGTGACAAGCCACGAAGACTTGCAGATCTTATGTAAGGTGCAGACTGGTGTAGAGGTTCAAAGGGGTGCTTTGGTTCTCAGCTGTTTTCACTGAGCGTTGTTTTGGAGTTCAGCGGCGCGTCAGTGGCACGTCATCCATGTAGATCCAAAAGGAATAAATTCCGGTAAATGCCGTTTTCAAAAGCTGGCTTTGTATTTTGAATAGGGCTTTGGAACTGCTCCAAGAGACCAAAATTCTATGTATGGTTTCGGCATGCCTGTGAGGCGGTGGGGTTATCGAAAGCATGGTCTTTCGGGGATCCGAGCTTGAGGACGACACACTTTTTTTTGTAATGGATTTCTTGTATAGTATAGCGCAGCCCTTGACCCGGATAATGCTCATAAGTGCCCACCTGAGCCGTACACCTCCCAAACGAACTCGGCTATGAATTGACATTAGCTTGAGGAAGCATTGTTGTAACAAATGCAGTGGCGCATCCTACTTCCGTCGTGCAGCCAGTTTCGACAGGCATGTTTAACTGCCCATGTGACTCGTGTCTGGGTGTGCTTGTGCCCTCATGAAGCTCAAGTGCCACACGCAATCTCTCAGTAAGGACGGTTGGATGATAAATTCTGAGGTGTACAAAGTGGAAGGGCCTATACTGACATGCTGGGTGGGGCAAACAGTCTTGCGGTCTGCGCCACATTTTGCGCACATGCGCTGTCCGTGATCCTTGAAATTACAAGGTGCGCTCTCCAATGGTACATGCACCAGTTACATCTCTGGACGAGGGGCATGGCCTAGAGAATGCAGACCAGCCAATAGCCCTTAAGTTCCTGATGAGCAGGCTTCGGAAACTCAGCACATGTGTCCCCCTGTGCCGGACAAAATTCTGATTTTCCACACTCCTGAGAGGACCTTCTTTGTCAACCAAGTGGCAAAGCCCCCAAATGCTAAACGCCAGGTAACTTTGGGAGGGCTAACCTGTCGCTGGTAGTGCATAATCAGCTTTTTTTTATCTCCTCCTCGTAGCTTTGGCTAGCATTGATGGTCCGAGAGCTTCAAAAAAACTCAGGTAATCTCGCCTGCAGCTCCGGCGGCCAAAGACACTCGGCCTTTGTGGCGCCGAGCTTGGGCTCTGCTTGGACGCGAAATACGCGAACTGGTTGTCTCAGTGAGGCTTTCTTTATCTCAATCTAGGGGTAGCACGTGGTGCAACTACTGCTGAAGCTGATTTCCACTTGAGCAGCATTTTTTTCAAGTATGTAAGGGATATGATGGAA